TGGGGGGGGGGGCATTCTAGGGGGGGGGGGCGAGGCGAGGGAGAGAGGCGCCGACAGGTGGGCGAGCCGAGGCTCGTCGAGAAGGTCGGCAGGGAGGTCAGCGCGGAAGAGCAGGCAGAAGCGCTGCCCGCTGCAGAAGGAGGAGAGGGCCGTCCGGCCAAGAGTGAGCTCGAAGGTGGCGAGGCCTACTCGCGGCGGGAGCTGTGAAGAGACGCCGTCCACACACACACACACACACACACACACACTGTCGCGGGATGCGCCTGATCACGCAGCGAGCTGTGAAGAGACGCCGTCACGGCGCCCGTCTTCCGCTTGACGCGCGGTGGTCGCGCGGTGGACGCCTATCGTGACGTGGGGCGCGTCACTCACAGCGCCGCTCCCTCCTCACCTCTCTGGCTGGGTGGCGGCGGCGCCGTCGCTGCCGACAGCCACGCGCGTATCGCCGATCAAGAGCGGGCCATGCGCGCCGTGCTGCTTGGACTCGGCCTCCACCTGGCCGCCGCGGGACGCACCGTGAGGGGCGCCGTAGGTGTGGCGGCGGGGCGGTGGAGTGCGGCGGGACGGGGCGGCGGGTGGGTGCGTGAGTCGGCGGCCGCACGTCGCTGCCGGACTCGAGCATCAGCCGGACCGTGAGGTGGAGGTTATCGATTGGCAGCGGCCCTCCGTTTGCGCCCTGCGCTTGCAAAACGACCTTGAACGGCCGTTGGTTGGTGTATATGTACTCCTTGTCGCCCGTCTCGTGATTCTCGTCGACACGGTGCGCGTCCTGCTGCAAGAAGCTGATGCGGAGCCGTTCATACGCCGCAATCGGGCCCGTGTCGACCAGCAGGTCCTCGACCTTGAGCGACGGTACGCGAGACTGCAGCGTCGGTGGCTCGAGCCAGTCACTCAGATCGACGGGCTCGCTCGGGAGAATATCCTCCAGGCGGTCGAGGTCGTCGCCGATCGACGACGACGGGCCAGCGTCCAACATTCGGCAAGATGCCTCCTCCCTTGTCGGCCAAGATCTAAGAAACAGTGGCCAGGGGCGGGGCTTGCATTTTTGCCGTCGCCAGTCGCCCCCCCAAACGCTACACCTACAGCGGGGGCGGCGGCGGCGGCGGGGGCGGCGGCGGCGGCGCGACGGGGTGGGTGGGGTGTGGGGAGGTGCTGCTGTGTGCGCTGCGCGTGCGCGCACCGCACACCATACTCGAGTACGGCGGGAAACAGACGGCGAGGGGGGCGCGGCGGCAGTGGCGGCAGAGCGCGCGCGCGCGGCGCGCGCGACGGAGGGGCGGAGCAGCGACCGCGCGCGCGGTCGCTGCTCCGTCTGTCCCGGAGCGCCGTCTGCGCGGGGTGCGCGTCAGGAGAGGGGGGACGGGGGAAGGGAGCACCCGGGCGACGAGAGGTAGGAGGTGCTCGCCGGCGAGCGCTCCCGCGCCTGCGGAGGGGCAAGGCCTGAGGGCGGGCGGGCGGGCGGGCGGGCGCGGGGGGGGGGGGGGGGATAAACGGAAAAGCCGCCCCCGCACCAGCGACACCGGCCGCGGCTCGCCTACGCGCGCCGGCTCGGAACTCGGCCGCCGT